CAAGTTGAAACGAGCAAAGGCCATGATGGGGTAGTAAAGGTACTTTTGGTAGGGGACCATGACATCGCACGCTGCATCCCATACAAACTGGAAGTTGTAGAAGGAGGACAGAATGGATTTGATGTAAGTAGGAGAGGTGGAGAACAAGGGAATGTTCTGGATATCGGGGTCGTGCTCAGGCATGTTGGTGACGAGGTGGTGCACATTGTGGCTGGACTTCCACCAGCCGATACTAAGACCGCAGCAAAAGTCTGCGATGAAGGCACCGATAAGTGTGTCTGCGACAAAGTTGCCGGTGATTCCACGGTGGCCGGCGTCGTGTGCCGTGAACATGATTTGCTGCCAGAAAAGACCAAGGAAGACGGCAGAAGTCATGTACCACTTGATGTAGAGGAAACCCCCAAAAGCAGCGAAAAGAAGGCCGTATCGGATCGACTCTTTGGCATACTCGGAGTAGCGACATTGGTACAGGCCTTCGTCCTTGAACTGCTGGTGAAGTAAACGGTAGTTTTGGACAATGGCCTTTTGCGTCTCGACGTCGAGCGAAGGGTTGTCGCGGAGGCCCTCTTCTATCTCCCTCTCTTCTTGCTCGATGGCATACTGCTCCCTGTGCCTCTTCTTCTCCTCTGCGGCGGTGATGACGGGCGTCTCAGCCTCATCTTCGCTCTGGATAAGAGGGAGCTTCTCGGGATCACTTGCCGGACGGCTGCTGGAGCGGTAGACGCAAGTATCAGGCTTTCCGATCAGCTTCTTGCTGATGATGGCGGCAGCCTTGGTTCATGTTAGCAAGGGCAAATGGTGCTTGGGAGTGTGGGGTAGACCCACGGATCCTAGGTCGACGCTCCTCCCGCGACGAGACTTTTCGGATTCTGGCGCCGCGGCCAATCGTTTTCTCTCCTTGAGATTTATGTAGTAATCGGGGGAGCGAATTGGAGGCTCGAGGTTGGCCCAGGGCAGCTGTACACGACCGATGCGATGCTTTGTCATCATAAGCAGGGCCTTATTGGTGTGGTAGCTGTTGTTAGGTCAGTATGAGGTCAAGCTGGTGTGCTTACCCAGCGCTTCCGCAGACATCCGGCGACATGGTATAGGCGGACTTTGCCTTTTAGGGTAGGGTTGGTAGGGCTGGAGTAGATTTAGGCTCGTTCCGCATTACATACATATTGATCTCGTCTGTCGCATCTCTTCCGACCATGTGCAGGATAGCGAGACGACCACCCGGATGCCTATCAATCCATTCTCCGAGATGCAGGACGTAGCCCTCGTGGATCACAATCGGCTCGCCCTGGGCAATCTGGCGCTCGATCTCTGCGGGCGCGATTATTCGGTGTCGCGACATGATGATTGCTTGGGCTGGTTGTGAGAGGGGAGGGATGGCGGCGGCGTGTTAATCAGCGGGAAGCAGGATATATACGAAAGGTAGGAGCGCGGCAGAGGGAATACCTACTGGCACCGAACCTGGGTACTTTTTGGGGAGATTTCCCGCCTACGCCGTGTGCACGGTTCACGGGCCTGGCGAAATCTTGGAGCGTTTGCTTGCGAAGGGGGCGGAGCTGTTCAGGTACGTCAGGTCTGTCTCTGGTGGCACGCATACGCACGCGAGAAGCGCGGAGGAGCCAACGACTGGAAGGCCAGCCAGGGGAGCTCGCAACGGTACCGCACAGTGGGCCGCCCCAAGGCCTGTAGCTCGCAATCCATCCGCCATTGTGCTCGCGCCTAGCCCAGCTGGTTCAAGCCCCGCGAGCGCCTGAGGGAGACGGGAGATCAATCTCGCAGCGCACCGTATAGATTGGCGGCGTTGCTGCACGAAGAATAGGGGAGTGGGTAACGGCTTCCTTTGCTCCAGCTACCCACGGGCCCCTTCTAGGCAGGTGTAACGCAGGACCATCCTCACAATGCACGCCAAGCCCTTGGGTTCGCCACGAAACAAAGAACCGAAGGCCCAGATTGGCGCTGCAAACGGCGTAGCGTGGACCCTGAGAGACCCCTTCTGCCCTTGCGGGACTGTCGCCCCGCAACAGGAAACGCCTCTGAGTGGCCATGGGCGCCTGGACGCGGACCCGCCAATGGGGCCTCGCTCTCGCCTGCCTGTCTGGAGGAGACCCTTTTCTTGCCCTCTCTCCCTCTCATCTCTGCAGTCGGCCCTGCCCTCTCCACTCCACACCACCCTCGAACCATCTCAGGGAGCTGGCTATCGGTCCATGTGCGACACAACCAGCGCCGTCACCACTCTACAGCGGGTGACATGCTTGGCACAGCGCCACCGCGTGCTGTGCGCCTGAGCGCGGCCAACGGCCCATCGGTCCCGATTGTCTCAAGCGCGTATCCGTAAAAGCAGTCTCGAGAGCGCACCTAGATCGTATTGCGTATCGATCCCCATGCGCTATATCACCACGCTCCACATGTCTGCGCCGCGCGTACTCGCAACAATCACCCCCCGTACGCAACTAGCAGTGCACATCAAACGTGCTGTGTGCTTTTCTACAGTAACAGCTCCAGTGCCCCCCTTCCACGTGCTTTTCCAATTACGACTCCTGGCCCCTCCTGCAATGCCTCGCCGCGTACATGCATGCCCCTCCCTTTATTCACACCCAATCCCGCCTTCATTCCCAGTCTCCTCAGCGCGTCACCTACTCGTTATGTCACCGTAATTCACTATTCCCATACCCCCGTGTACGAATACGTCGACGAAAAGGTTCTGACCGCCTGCCATGTTGCGTCAGCCTGGGCGTCATCGTCGTCGGGCACCATGAAGAGACCGACCCCGATTGTTGAGTTACCGGTTGCACCAGGTACAATCTAGATGGGACAGAGTCAGCTTACCGCCGAAGAACGACAACCGCAACATGATCACCTAGAACCCCTCATAAAACCTGAAGATTTGCTGAGCTTACTGCTCGGGCATGACACTAGGCGCCGAGACACCAGGGTTCAGTCAGTCACTGTAAACCTATAAGTCTTCAACACCGCATGGTGGGCTGGGACACAACCACCCATCAAAAGCCAGCAATGCGTCTGCCAAACGACCCGTAACTACGCCTATCAACATATCCGATCTCTGCTTCCGCGCCTCCCACAGCGATCCCAGCACTGTCTTGCAACAATACAAAGCAGAAGCTGCAGCCTACGAGCCTACCGTTGACGAGATGCTCAACTTATGGCTTGGGAGCCAGCCTAGTCGAGCCTGGAAGAGAAGCATTGAACGTAGACGCTGAGCCACATCAATAGAGATGGTCGGACATGTGACTATCCAAGTACGCATCCAACCTTGAACGTGAAACCGCGAAGAGGCTTTTTCCGCAGGGTAAGGGTTGTTTTGGCACCAGTGAACGTTTCGGACAACAATACGTGCAGCGCGCCGAACACCGTCAAGGCCATAAAAAAGCTAGGAGCACAACACAGAGCCCAAATTTTATGGTACAACAAACCATTCGTCCGCCCACGTGGTGAACCGTCACCAACAAATGTAATAAGCTTTGCGGCGCAACACAGCTGCAAAAGCAAGGCGAGTGCCGGAAAAGAAGTCATTGAAACAAATGTGACATCATAGAGGGGCCGATTAGAACATTGACGAAGCTCAATTGATTTTGAATACAGTTTGGCTGCATGCTGAACTCCTTTCGGACTCTAGTCCGACTGGTCATGAAACTAGCTCGACTGACCATGAAAGTACACAATAGCTCATCAGACTATGACCACGAAGTAAACTGGCCATGACCAAAATTGCATTCGAGCATGCGAGCAGCTCATTGGACTGGAAGCCCAAACCGGAGGTCTAGGCTCTCGAGGTCAGTGCTCGCTCGGCTAATGAATGAGCCGCCTTGACTAGACTCGAACCGATAATGACCATCAGTCCGTCTGACCATGAGCACAAGTTAGCCCAGCTACCTTTTCCAGTCTGAACATGAGCGGGTTACCAACTCGTGTGCAGGTGCAATTGGCCCCGTGTTGGCTAACCACCGCTAAGCGACGACCATGTGAGAGACTCCTTCAGTATGTCTATTCTGTTAGGCAATTGTATTATCCGAAGGCTTCGGTGTTCGCGGTGGACAAAGCTCGTGGCGCAATCTTAGGACGATAAGAATTGGGACGCAAGCTTTCCTTTTATGTACATGGTGCTGAAGATGCGTGATATTTGGTCAATGAGATTGGTGGCGTGCAGTTCTTTGCCGTTAAAAAGGTCTCGAGTCATGCCGCTGTCTGCCGAGTAAAGTTTGTTGTTCAAGTCATGCATGGCAGACATGTAGCAGTTCGGAAGGTCACCTCACTAGATGAGGCAGCTTGCTATAGCTGGGACATTTCAATTCAGACACTAAGATGGTGCTTCGATGTAGAAGTCACGGAATTGCTGCGTTGCTTCTACTGCACGGACTATATCCAGTGCTCTATACTGCAAGATCTACCCTGTTGCGAACCCTGTCTATACCGCTTAGTACGACTCGCTGTACCCGGGTATGGAGTCTAAATCTCCTATCTTGCGCGAGTGCAGAGCTTGTCATTCAAACAACTTCCCGATCTATATCAGTACTGCCATGAGCTTGGGTCTTCGAACAGCTCACTTGCAGGATGCAAGAACTTGTACAGATTCTTAAGAGCCTTTACAAGGCTACACAGAGCGTCGTTAAGCGCCTCCGTTTGATATATTGTTTTCTTCGTCTATGGCTTCTCAATCAGCAGATGTGAGCTCCCGTTTGTCATCAAACTGCACTATTAGATGTTGGCTTAGCTCGTCGATGAATCTCATGACGCGGGTGTCGTCATCAGATGGCCCCAAACATAAGAGCAGACAGCGTATGCGTTGTCATAAATCAGGCTCATACGACAAATTTGTCTACCACGCTCAGCTACAGCGTCTTGAGTGATGGATATGGCATCAATCCATAATGACACGATCTGTGCGAATTGCGTAAGATGAACATCCGCTCGTTACACGATGAGACACAGGGATACTAGGCAAGATTTCAAAAGATGCTTAAGACCTGTGGCATAAAAAGACACGATCAACCAACAAAACCATTGTATCCTACGAAGCCGTGTCCATATGTACCCAAGCATGAACGTCGAACACTCTCCTCAAATGGTACCCAACCGTTTGCGCCAAACTTTCTCAACAACTCAATGGATCTCTGGAAATCCACAGTGGTACTCGGTTTCCTTTTCCCAGGTTCGTCGGCTGGAAACATACGGTTCGGTGCTAGATTTCGGAACACACGGAGGAAGCTGTTGTAGTTGAAAGGAAAGGCAAAACCAAACAACCGCTCGCCATTGACCTCGTCAAATATGAGCGCCGCAAGATGCAACTTTGCAATGTCTTCAACATCGACTTGCCACTGTGGACTATCATCCCGCAGCTTTGCTACGTATTCCTCTTCGGAAGGATGGTCAAAGGCGTCACGCACCCAACGCGCGGTGCTTCCTGCGCCTGCAACACTGAGAGGCTGTAATATGATGCCAGACGTGTAGTTTGGAAGTACAGTGTTGAAGACGAAGCTCGGTTTCTGTTCTCGCACAAAAGCCCAAGCTGCACGCTCGCATGCAACTTTCGAGGCGGCATACACAGCGTAGGCACGCTCAGGATGGTACGGTGGTGGCGCCCAGGCTTCGTCTAAAATACCGTCGTTCCATGAACTTGAGTTGACATGTCTTGCCTCGTCCACCAAAGGTTTAGTTGCTGCATTACTGCTCGAGGTGTAGACAAACCTCTTGATGGTCGGTGTCGAATGAGCTTCCTCCAGTATCGCCTTGATGCCATTGACGCACCCTGTAATGACAACATTAGGGTCGGGACTGAAGCTCAAATCAGACGCGACGTGGGCGACACCTTCACAATCAGCGAGAAGATCTTTGAAGGCTCCTGGCAATTTCATGTCTGCGACTATGACAGTTTCGAAGGAATCTTCTGCCTGATCGTGACGCGTTCGGTAGATGGAATGCATCATTTCTGCTTCATCCTGATTCCGTACGGCACCTCGGACGCGATACCCGGCCCGAAGTAGATGATCTGCCACATGGGAGCCGATGAGACCGCTGATGCCAGTGACAAATACTCGACTTCCGGCGGTGATAATTGTCATGGCGCGAATGATTTTGGGCAATACAGCTCGAAGGAATAATAAAGCTGTCTTTGAGAAATCCCTGTTACGTGCTTGTTCACACGATCGTCCCCGGGCCGTCCTAACGGTTGCCGCTTCTTCCACCAATCATATTGCGGCTACACTGAAGCCACATATCCTCTCAGATCCATCAACAATACCATGCATGCCGACATCACTTCCACCTCTTCGATCTCTTGTGCGCGCCATGGTCTCTCATTTCAACCTTGATCGACGAATTCCACGTGCTCGACATTCTTCCTCCAAGGGTTGAACGTGCATCAAAATAGGCTAGCAAATTGATGTTGGCATCGAGCAGCCACAATATCGAAAGCCAATTCGTTCCAGGGGTCATGGCCAGGCTTGAAGGACGTTCAGGGTACTGAGAGTCCGCACCCATGTGTTTCCTCAACAACGAACCGTGTGGCTGCTCGGCCTCTCCTCCAGTCAGTTTCTTTTTCCTACCATTAGCCTCCAACCCATAGGCGTACTTTTCTACCATCGCCAACGGCTTTTCGCTCACAAATGTAGGCTCGGTTTGATGAAACTTGTTCCTGTTGTTTGCGTCAATGCCAGTGTTACTGCTCACACTTTGTATCCGTCTTGCTGGGATGCCGAAGATCGTAACGCTACAGTCATTCTACTCATCGCAGTGATACATGACAAAGGCTTCCACTGGACTTTCCAACGCATAGAAGTAACAAGATCATTTGTTGATCAGCGTTCGTGTCAATAGAACATATATTAGTGTACGTTCGAAGACTGTACCACAAGCGGAATGACTACAGCGAATAACCGTTGGCCATCCTCATCTGCCATAACGAGAACCCAATTGCCCTCCCATTCGTCTCACATCATATCATAGCGACGGCTGTTTCTACAATTCCTCCTTGTCCTCCTCCTCGACCTCGGTATCCTTGATAGGATCCCTCTCTGCATCGCGAATTGCCTTTTCGAACTCTTCCGCTTCCTTAGGGCTGTTTGCAAACAAATGGTCCTTGACAAGCCTTTGCGGTGTCTCACCAAGCCACTGGAACAAGCTGAAATCCTGGTACTTGTCCGTACGGAAGATTTCCAGCACCTCGACGTCCTCGTCATCGGAGAGATTCTCGATGAAGTGTCCCATGTTACGGGGAATGACACCAACATCACCGGCTTGGAAGTCAAAAGTACGTGCTGTACCTTTGGCGGCGAAGATAGTCACACGGGCGCGGCCAGCGATGAAGAACGACCATTCGTCTGCATTAGCTGTGGAAATGAGTTAGTGAGACGTCAGGCATAAGTGGGTAAGTGACTTACGATGCCAATGCATCTCACGGATCGCGCCAGGTTGAATACTCAGGTGTGCTGCAGCGACAGTCTTAGAGATGGGAAAGTTTGTCGAATCAGTAATGCGGACTTGACCACCAGTTGTGTTAACGGGCTCCTGAGCCAGCATCTTGTGGGTGAACTGGATCTTGGACTTCTTGTATCCTTTACCCTTGCTTGGCACCTCGTCGTCAATGGAACCAGGCTCCGAGCCTTTGAAAATGTACTTTTCGCTCTCGGGGATGGCCTTGAAGACTTCTGGCGATACGCGGAAGTTCTCACCCAAGACTGACTTGGGTGTGAGTCGCATCCAGTCGGTAAGCAGAAATGTGGAGTCTTCAGAGAAGTTGCCGTCGTCAAAGACCAGTAGGAACTCGGTACCGTTGGGACTAAGACCTTGCAGGGAGTGAGGGTGGCCAGAGGGGAAGTACCAGAGGTCACCCTTCTCCAAGTCGTCGACGAAGGAGCCACCCTCGGGGTCGAGAGCAGTGATGCGGACTTTGCCTTCAAGGACGTAGGCCCATTCAGCTTCCTTGTGCCAATGAAGCTCACGGATGACACCTTCTTCGAGACGCATGTTGACACCGGCTAGCTCTTTGCTAGTACCCAGCTCGCGAACGGTCGTCTCACGTGTCCAGCCGCCTTCTTCGATACGGATATGCGAATCGGCGAAAGACCAGCGCATGTTGGGGATTGCGCCATGATCGGTGCTGGGTGGGCGGACAAGATCCGGGTTCTGTCGTTCGCGGGCGCGGTTACGAGGTCCTAACACACTCGCACCGTCACCATTGCGCTGCAGAGTTGGTTAGTGTGTGGGTTCTCTATAGGCTTGATGTTTGTTGTTCTGCGGAACAAGCATCTCAGTGTCGAACTCACGTATGGCAGTGGTTGAAGCTTGTCGCCTTGGGAGTCAATCTTCTTGTCGAAGGGGTCATTGTTGCCAGGCTTGTATGGATTGAAGACCTTGTTGGGCCCAGCGTGGTGTCGCGCACTACCAGGGAGTGGTTGTTGTTGCTCCAAAGGCGCTGCAACAGCACCACATACGCCAAGCGCGACAAGCAACGACGGAAGATGCATGATTGCTTCAATTGACTTGGAATGCAGAAGCTGAAAAGGAATCACAGCGTCAAGTCGTTGTCGACGCGGCAGACGTCGCCCTTTTGACGTGCCGCGTGCATTGCGCGTCATCCAATGCCGTGTTCCGATGACGACAGATGCAGCCATTATTATTTATGATGCTTGCTTGACACTAAACCATCACTTGGTCCTTCCCGCGGCATCTCCGCTCGTCAATCACCATTTTTCCACGCACCATACCCACTGAAAACCGTTTCCCCGCACACCAAACGCATTGCAAAGCCACATCGGGAAGGTGTACCAGCCACATTTCCTGAGCTATCCTGCGATTTCCGTTGCCAGCATCCAAAGCTTGACTGAAGCTTGAGTCCAAGTGCCTGTCGATCTGCACGCTGGCACGCGTCTTCCCGGTTACGCTGGCGCGAAAATCTGCACCCCGCTCCAATTGACATAACTACCGGCCTTCGCAACCCTCCCAGGATTCGACAGCACGACCTCCTCTCCCTCGCGCCTGCAACCATGAGCAGCAGAAACGCCACACGCAGCAGCGCAGACGAAGAAACGCCGCTTCTCGGCCGAAATGGCTCCACCGGCGGAAAGTCGGATAACATGGGGACTGTGCAGCGGTTCAAACGGCACATGAACTGCGATGTCACCAAGAACTGGGCAGACCTTGTTTTGTTGTTTTGCTACATTATCACGGGCCTACTGGATAGCTCGGCTGTCTTCATATGGGGCTCTTTCGTGAGCATGCAGACGGGTGAGTAAGACGCGCCATCTTTCATGAACCAGAAGCTTACAAATAAACAGGTAATACCGTCTATCTTGGACTGGGTGTTGTTGCACCATCTGAGGGCATTCGTTGGATCAAGGCCCTAACGTCCATTACTGCATTCTGTGCGGGCTCGTTTTGTTTCGCGCGCTTTCATCGTTACTTCTCGCCTGCCAAGAGATGGGTGCTCATCGTTTCATATTCTTTCCAGATGCTGCTTATCGCCGTAGCGGCATTGATCGCGACGGTCGGAAAGGATACCAAGGAAGGCCTTCATTGGCAGATGCTTGTCCCACTTGCTTCGGTTGCTTTCCAGTCCAGTGGACAAGCGGTTACGTCGCGCGCCTTGAAGTACAATGGTCTCACTAGTGTTGTGCTCACCAGTAACTATTGCGATCTGTTTTCCGATCCGCAGTTGTTCAAGCTGTCGAACGTGGAGCGTAACAGGAGAATTGGTGCACCAGCGATGCTGCTTCTGGGAGCTTGCATCGGTGGTCTATATGCCCACAGTAGTGTAGGCCTTGCAGGTGCCTTGTGGACTGCTTGTGGGTTGAAACTGCTTGCAGTTTTTGCCTGGGTTTTTTGGCCGTCGGAAATTTTGGAGGAGTAAAATTCGGGCCTGACAAGAATTCAACTTGGTCCTGTTAGCCAGTCCCAACCATGGTACGAACGCCCGCACAAACTATAACCTACAATACTCTCCAATGTATACATAATCACCTACTTTGATCGTTCTGCAATTGTCGTAACCGCAAGTCTTCTTGAATTACGTCTTGGTTATCCCTTCTTCTCTCAGATACCCTGTCTACGCTCTGAAATGAAGCCCAACAATGCAGGTTGCCCCGAACTTGTCAAGACCTGTGAAGGCCAATTGCTGCTCAAGTCAGAGGTCCAGGAATTCGCTAGTTCTCAAAGCTGCCTTGCAGAAGCCACAGTAATAGCGTTTGGTATAGAAGGAGTCACTCAGCATTTCCAGTATCGGAATGTTTTCAGCACGGAGCAGACCAAGCTTGGAGTTGTGGTACTAAGACCCAGTACAAAACCATTTTGTTCCATTCTTGACTTGTATTCCTTCTGTTACTATCACATCATCAAGGTTCTTGCTATACAGGCACGTGACCTATGAAGAGGTAGAGTTACGCGTCACGCGAATGATTCTACCAGAGACGTATCCAGTCATCTAAACGTCTGATGGAGCACCTGAGGAACTACCTACAACTACTAACATTTGATACAATGATTCGGCAACTGCTTTCGAATAAGTGAGCGAATTCACCTGTACTCGGGTGGACTCGGGCTAATTTTCACAGAATACTCAACATCGTGGGTGAAAGCAGAGACGAAACGCAAATCCGTCACCACGCGCTTACAATGACGGCCTAGAGCCTGGAACTACGCGCCACCGAGGCGTCTGTAGTCTCGCGTATTGTCACCACAACCCAGACATGCTCTCACCTGACGCCGCAATATCGACGCAAATAGCTCTGTCCTTGATCCACCGCAACTTCTCACTTCTGACACAATTAAAACACGCGAAGCGCACATCTCCAGGCACATCAATTGAAATCACCAACGATGTCACTCAATCCGTTGAAGAGGTCCTTCGACACCATGATGGCCATGTTGAAGGTGAAGGAATTGTCAGAAGATGCCATCATGACGACCGATTCTCCCTCTCAAAGCTTCATGAGTACAGACTCTGGCGCAATGGGCATTGACAATGAGAACGATCCAAAATACAGTGGCCGCGACGTCTATCGCCTTTCGTCATCTCATTTGGGAACGCAGTCTACTCAACATGTCAACACTTTCATCGTAGATCAACATGGCAGTCACGACTCCACCAGCACCACATGCCAAACGCTGAACACCTTTCAATATTTCGCCGACCTGCCTTCCAAGGTACGCTTATTGATCTGGTCCTTCGCCGCTCCAGCAGCACGGACTCGTTTCCTCGAACTACATACCTATAACACCATTGATCACACCCCTCGCCTCCGCTATATACCTCCACTTCCGCCTCTCTTCTCCACAAACCAGGAAGCCAGGAGCTTCAGTATCGCACATGAAGGTGGAGAGATCGTTACTTTTACGTCAAGCACCTTCACCGATTTGTTGTCTTTTCACGGACGGAAGATTGGCGAACCAGAAGATGAAGACGAGGAGGAAAAAGGATTCTATTTCAATTTCAACCTGGATATTATCTGGTTGAGTGTTAGATTTACAGCCGCATGTAACACTACTGAGACACTTCGTCTCACGACGCTATCTTCCATCCCTCCACCTACCACTCTATCGCGCATTCGACGTCTCCTAATCTCATACTCTGGAATCGACTCATATGCTCTGATCGGCCCTCTATTACGCCCATATTTACATCTCACGACGCTGTATCTGTGTATGAACGACGAGCGAGTTCGAGAGAATGTGAAAACGTTGCTGATGAAGGGTATACCGGCCAAGGGGGCGATGGCGGACAAGTTGAGAAGCATGATTGAGCAGGCTGAAGCTGAGGAGACGGACGATGAGGAGGAAAGTGAGGAAAATGAGAAGGAGCGGCTGGCGGTGAGGCAGTGTAGGAGGGTACTCGAAGTGGATACAAAACTAGGAGAGTAGTTAAGCTGGAGTAGTCTTGGAGCTTTACGCCGGTTGGAGGTATATTGGAAGCTTTGGAGCACTTGAGTGTCGAGTGCCGATTTAGGGATTTCAGAACATCACTCTGCGATCACAGCTTTAGTGACATGAGGAAGTGGAAGCCAAGAGATAACCAAACCATTGTACACCTACTGATAGTTTCGATACAATATACAAAGTGCTAAACAACCATATCGCTCAAGGACGGTGACTCGTCCACTCTCATCCTCGACAGCTCAAAGCTCAATACGGTGTGATCCATGTAGTACATTAACAAGCGCCATCGCCTTGGTTGCAGTGTCTCTTTCTCTTGTTCCAATGCTTCAGTGTCTCTTGGAACGTCAAACATGCCTAGATCAGACACAAGTTAGACACTGGATGTATAGATGAACATTCTGCATCGTACCTTGTATGGGTGCTACAGCTATACCAAGCAGTCGTCCCTGCGGCACTCCAGTAATTTTCGTCTGATCGCTTTTGTGGAAAGGCAACAAATACTCGAGCTTGAATCCATACAGTGGCTGTTCGTGGTCCTCACGCTTAGTAAAACATACGCTGAACACGCCAGCATGACCAATCGGAGATCCGACTATGAAGATGCCTAGCTCAGGTATCTGAGAAAAGAAGCAGTGTCGATCTTGAGAGGTGAGGGCCTCTACCCATCGGCCCGGATGTAGTGGTCGCTGCATAGCAGTAACCTGCAATATCGGTGTACGAAGTCAGTGCGTATCTCACCTGCATTTCGTAGATTGGAATTCTCACTTGATTGAAGGTATAGTTCATGGATGTCTTGTATGAGCCCTGAACAAGAAAAATGTCCTCCTTCGTAAAGATCAGAAAAGGAGCAATGATGGCATCCTAGTTTGGTCAATTTGAAGCGATGTGAGAAGGTGAAAATATATATCTTACAGTGCCACTGAGTTGTTTGAGCTGTCTTGGATTCTTGACTACGCGATAAGGTCTTTTGATTACGGGTTGGGCCGCATAAAATATTCCCAGCTGAGCTAGCATATGCAGGTGAGACTCATGTTGAATGAGCGGTTGAGTAGTGTCACCGTTATGAAGCTCGCCTGCCATCTAACAGCAAACATGTAATTAGTACCATGTCGTTTGGCAAGAATCTCTTTGTGTGTACTTTGAGGGTATACTTTGAGCCGTGGCAACAAACAAGATGACCTGGGCTTCTTTGTGCACACGCTTTGACTTACAGCTTGGATCAATTGCGCAAAAGGTTGTGCGGGTTGTTCGTCATCTGTACCGTCGTCTCCATCATCTGCGGCCTCCGAATCGTATTCACTTTCGCTAGACTCGGAAAATGGAGAGGTGCGGTTCGAAACTCGGAAGCGTTCCTTCTGATTGGTGATGTCCATAAAGTCGGCCGTACTGGCAGCTGGAGTAAATTCTTCCGCTGAGGACGACTCATACGCTGATCGTATATCCAGTGCTATGGTACCCCAGGCGCCATGGAGTACATTCTGAGCGGCTGGGCATTCGCACAGAAATCTGTGGCGAAAGTAACGAGGCGGCGTCGAGAGATCGCTCGCGCTTGCGCACCAGCCCAGCTGAAACGTGGCTACCTCTTCTCTTGAATTCAAGTCCCACAATGCAGTTTTGCCATCGATACAACTGCTCAGAAGCCAACGCCCAGAATCGCCATAGAACGACAGCGCAGGGATGTTGTTTGTCGCTGAGAGAGTAAAAACATCATCTTTTTGCCTACTATATGGAAAATAAGGAGCAGGCGGTGAAAGCCCGTGGGCATTGTGGTCTGAGGTGTCCAATTCGCTACCAGAAGCGAGCGCATACGCGATTATGGTGATACGATGAGTGTTCTATCCAAGGTCAGAAGAGCAGGGCGTATGCGAGACTTGGAAATCATCATTACCGCACTAATTGCAATGATGCGGGCCTCCCGATGCACCGCTAAGCCCCATGCACTCGCACCAACGTTACGATGGAGGAACACATGTATGCTATCGTCGTTGATAGGCTCTTGCAGATTGGTCCTGTGTTCGAGTGCTCGTTGGATCTCTTGAATTCTGTATCCGATAACGTCACCGTCGTCACAGGCCAGAAGAAGAATCTCTTCACTGCCGAGATAATCAACAAGGATACGGGTAATAGAGTGAGGGTTTGAAGGGTCAATCCCTTGTCCAACGACACCAGTTTTGGGCGGATGTAGGACAAGCTCAGCCTCGCTAGGTAAATTCTGATCGGGAAAACTGGGTTGATAGACATGAACTTCATCGACAGAGGCGAGGAAATAGAGATTATATCGATGCGAAAGTGCCGTCAAGTCGCAACGCCATCCTCTCAAACTTGGTTGTGCGACTTTGTCGGGAAACTATTCTGGGTCAACGGCCGTCTTGAGAAGCAAATTAGTCAACCCAGCAAATAACTCACCCTTTGGTCTCCGCGATGATATCCCGTTGGGATACAAGCGATACGTTGGTACATAGCGAATACCGCATTCTTGCCTGGAGGGAGGTGATACAAGAGCGAAGACGAGAGAAGGAACGTGGGTTGGTCGCACGCGTGTGACGTGAGCTAGCGTCGAGCACAGTCTCATGATTGGTCAATCCAACGTGCTGCGACTACCCCAAGGATATGGAGAAGTCTGATCTAATGAGTGGTAACGCACACTCCAGTCGGAGTGGTATCCCATAAGACCACGCAGGCAAGACAACGTGAGAATATTAAGGATTTGTTTCACAAAGCAAAGCCCAGAAATGTCAATCTTCTTTGTGCTGGGAAACGTCTGTATAGGGTGCATTTTCACAGAATTTCACACATGGACGTAGGATCGAAAACAGATTTCCATGTCAGAGGCCTTTCAGCTTCATTGGTATTATAGTGTTATTGCGCGATATGAACATAATAGTCATATATATATCTCTAGTCGTGTTCTCCCATACGAAGACGAGGGCCTTCGTAACCCGATTGGATAGATCATAGCTTGAACATCAAACCCGGTAGATTGAGACTCCGAACGCCATCTAATGCTTCGCAGTGACTTTGTCGCCGGTGAGCTTCTCAACAGCCTCCTTGGCACTAAAGATTGGTTAGCGTGTCTGCGAACATGTGGTAGTGATGGCAAAACTTACACATCGCCCAGAGCAACCATGCAGACCGTCTGCCAAACGCCAAGACCAATGCGGGGAGTAACACCACGGTAAAGACCCTTGATACCGTTGTTCGAGTAGATGTACTTGAACGCTGATGCAACGTTCAGGTTCTTGGGGCGGTTAGGATCAACAGTCTTGGACTGGAGCTCAACGCGGATGACCTCGATAGGTTGGTTCCACGCGCTCAAACCACCACCGAGAGCTGAAGCAGTGATCTTTTCAACCACTGAGAGCTTCTCGCCATGCTCTTTGTCCATGACCCTGCGAATACCGGTTTCCGCAACACGGGACAGACCAAAGCGAGATCCCCAGTTGGTGACCTGGCGCACCGCGACGGCGTTAACACCACGGTTGATACCGCGGAGACCCTCCGTGCGCCAAATCTGCATGAAGGTCTCAAGCGTACCCGGGGGCTTCGCGCCGGTGGCTGCGACCTTGTGCTTTGTGATCTCGACCGTCTTCATGCAAGTGCAGAAACCCATGGTGGCATAGGCTTGCGCGAGACCACCCGTCATACCACCAGAGATACCAGCAAGGAAGTCGGGAGCGCCGAACGACTTGGCGTAGTATTCGGCTTCTGAAGCGACAAAGAGGAGGACGGCTCCCTTGGTGGAGGCTTCGATCCAGGCCCATGGAATAAGACCCTGGTAGACTGCATGCTTGTTAGTGATAAGTGTTGAAAGTCACGCAACGTGTACTGACATCCGAGAACACCTCCACGCGCCCAGATGCGGCCAATAGCTCCCGAGAAGCCTTCAGACCTGTTGGCAGCCATGGTAGTCTTGACGACCTCCAACGGCTATTTTCCAGCGTTAGTGTGTTTCCAGAAAGCACGTAGTTCTCAGAATCGCGTACCTGTCCCAGAGTTGTTACTCTGTAGGGCTCAGTTAGTGCCAATCCTGTCCTGGGGTCGAAGTGGGCTGTGTTTACTTACTCAAACATGTTGAGACCAGCACCAACTGTGGTTTCAGTCAGCATACATCAAGACTCTTCATCTGCAGACAGACTCACGCAACAAGTTGCTGAACTTGACCGGCTTCTTCTCGAGCGTTGGCGGGCCGTTCCTGGCCATGCTGGGGACGCCCGTCGCAGGTGTGGAGCTCATTCTCTGGGGTTCTCTTGTCGAAGATATGCGGCCTGACCAAGGCAAAAGGGTGCTTCGTCGCAAATGTGAGTGGTATCAAGTGTGTGAGCAAAGAGAGGAAAGGGATGCATAGAAAAACGGTATAAGCTTGCGAGGTGGTCTGTGTTGCTCTGGTTGACCGCCGTCCGGGCGCGCTATAATTGGGGTTGTCCCTGAGGCTATCGGCCACTTGGCGGAAGTGCCATGTCCCGCTCATGCTTTCCGCACCTCTGTACCATGCTGGAGGGGTCTACCGTTGCTTTTGCAATCCATGTTCCTGTGCAGAGTCGCTCCCTCCAATGCGAGAGTTTTCATGCTTGCTTTTGCCATTTCTACGTACGACTCCATACGACATCAGTTGCACTGCAAGTTGTTGGGTCTCGGATTGGCGTCGGGCGCGCTGCACAGCTCAACGATCCGTATCGGTTCCCCATCGCTCAACGAAAGGGGATACCCACACCCCGACTATCCCGGTTACTTTTCTCACCGTTCGTTGCTTTTTGCACCGCTGCAATTGGGCCAAACTCGTGCAGTCGTATCATCTCCGGACGTGCTCATCGGCATTTGTCGTGCACAGAAACACAATATGGTGAACTTCATGGAGAGTAGATTTCTGGTCATCAAGACATGAGATTACAGCAGGTCGTCTACTGAAAAGTAGTCATATAGCGCCGTAACGCTCCCATTCCCTATCCTTACATTGCAATTCTACACAGGACAAGGTATCTTAGAATGTCAAACAAATTCCCCCACATTCTCCTGACTGTAGAGCACGTTGCAGTAACGTGCTTACAACTTTGCGCCAACCAACTTGGCGTAAGCCTCAGTGCTGAAAGACTTGGGCCTCTCAATGGGGGCACCGACGGCACGGTCGATGATGAGCTGGGGAAGGACACCGAGCGCACGGGATACACCAAAGAGAACAGTGTAGTAGTTCTGCTCAGTGAGGCCGTAGTACTGGAGGAGGACACCGGAGTGGGCGTCGACGTTGGGGTAGGGGTTCTTGGTCTTGCCGTGCTCGGTGAGAACACCGGGGGCGATCTTGTAGACCTGGCTGACGAGCTTGAACATGGGGTCGTCGGGCAGGTGCTTCTGAGCGAACTCGCGCTGGGAGACGTAGCGGGGGTCGGTCTTGCGGAGAACAGCGTGGCCGTATCCGGGAACGACTTGGCCAGCCTTGAGGGTGGACCACAAGTAGTCCTTGATGGCCTGGTCGCTGAGGTCGTTGCCAATAGCCTTCTTCATCTTCTGGAGCCAGACAAGGACTTCCTGGTTGGCCAATCCGTGGAGAGGACCAGCAAGACCGTTGAGACCGGCAGCCAGAGACAGGTAAGGAGAGCTGAGAGCAGATCCAACCAAGTGGGTGGTGTGGGCGCTGACGTTGCCACCCTCGTGGTCGGTGTGGATGGTGAGGTACAGGCGCATCAGCTCAACGAAGTCCTTGTTCTCGGCGAAACCGAGCTGGTTGGCCAAGTTGAACGAGTAGTCCTTGTCCTTCTGGATGGGAGCAACCTTGCCGTCCTTGTAGATGTTGCGGTAGATCTTGGCGGCGAGAGTGGGGAGCTTCGCGATGAGGTCCATGGCATCCTCAAAGGTGTGCTCCCAGTACTGCGACTTGTGCATACCCTTGGCGTAGGCCTTGGCGAAGTTGGACTCGTGCTCGAGAGCGGTGACGGCGAGAGAGAACTGAGCCATTGGGTGGAGGTCGCTGGGGCAGCGGTCGATGAGCTCCTCGACGAACTTGGGGACGTCGGAGCGGGCAGCCCACTCAGCGGAGAGGTCGCGGACCTGCTGCTCGGAGGGGACCTCGCCGGTCAAGAGGAGCCAGAAGAGACCTTCTGGGAGAGGCTCCTGGCCACCGGGGGCCTTGGGGAGGAGCTCCTGGCATTCGGGGATCTATCACATATGAGCAGCGGTTCCAGAAAAGCGGTAAAAAATGCTAGGACATACGGTCTTGCCGCGGAAGCGGATACCCTCCTCAGAGTCGAGAACTGAACCCTCCCAGACGAGGGACTTGATGCCACGGGCACCACCGTAGACCTGGTCGAGAGTGACCTCGCCGACAACAGTGTTGCCGTGCTCCCTAGGATATGATGTCAGCGGTGCATTGCGGCGGGTGCGG